TCATAATAAAATCACTGTAATGAAGTCGTCCTCCAGTCTGATGGATTTATTTATCATCATATTTTAACAACAGTATGTAATGATCCTAAACATAAATTTTCCATAATAAATCTCAGAATAATTAAGCTTTCAGTATTCCAACAACTAAATGACACTGTAAACTCATTCAAGTACAAGAGTTAGATAATGAAATTTTATTCCAACAATTAAATCCAAATACTCATATGCTCTCATAATGGGAAAGGGTATATTACATTCATGTTTATGTTATTTCCTCTCTGGACCAAATTCAAGGAACGCGTAACTAAATTCCTCCCTAAATTGGTGTTTAACAATTATTTCAGTCTAAACTTTCCAAAGGATTGCACAAAACCCCCCTACTCAAAGCACTTGAAGCTTAGTCTTTGAATATGTGGCCACAAAAAGATTTGAGTTTTAAAAAAAAGGTAACCGACTGATAATTGAAAATGGACAGAACTTGAACTGCCGCAAAAAATATATTGAATCCATGACTGTAGCTTAAGAAAACGAAGAAAAGAAGAAAAAATATGCAGAACAACTTCATTTATAGACTCGTCACTTACAAGTTTCGGAATTAAGGCAGCCAATGAGCTGACGGTAAAGGATGATAAAGCTCCGAGACCAACTAAAGTGTTCATATTTGGAGCTCCTTTAACAAGACTTTTCATACCATCAAGAATAAGTTGACGACCAGGCCCAAGTAATGTAAATAAGCACAATGATAGATGGAATTGAGTGGTATGAAATGCATGGATCCATGAGGCCTTAGCACCAAAGAAATGAGAAATGTGGCCAAGGAGACACACGGCACACAAAGCCCAGGAGAAAACGAGATTGCGACCTGACAAAGTGTAAGAAAAGAGCAGCATTAGTTATTATAATATAAATCAAGAATAGCAGCTTGCCATTTTTCATTAGTAAGCATAATATCCAACAAAAAGTAAAAACATAACAGTAAAATAATAAGTTTTTGCATAAGAACCACTCTCTTTTAAACGATTGTGCTTTTCTTCCATCTTCCTTTCAAAAACCATGAAGATGTTGTCTCTTCCTGACTCTGCACATATAAGAGTCGTTGTATTATCAAGCTATAGCTAACTTGTAGAGATTCCCAGGAATGCAAATATCTAATATATCAAATCCACTTGCATTCGGGATGATAACATGTCCATTAGGAAAGATGAGCTTTCACCTCGAAGACTAGATGCAAAACCGCATTGAGTTAGATGGTTAGCAAGCGTCTGTCCCAACTGCTTCTCCCAGTGAGGTGAATCTTTCACCTCAGGTACGGGCCATATGACTGCAGTCTCTGTTGTGAGGTTCACACTAGCAGATGACACTTGTGGCTGCTCATGATTTTACAAAAACAAGAGCATTGGTTCACTTATCAAGGACAATCATGTAATTCCTTGCCGTAATTTTAATTTGGCGATGATTTGCACCAACTGGGAAGGGTTTATGCAACTTATTGGCTTTTGCTAGGCTGGTCTAGTACATTTCATTCATTCAATTAAATCCTGCTTCTTACAAAGCAAAACTAAACAATTGAACTCGGAGCAAAAAGAATAAGTAATTATGACCTGATTTTCGAGTATTCTCTTCACACTTGCTGCACATCCCCCGCAAGTCATTCCCTACGATTTTTTTTTCTATGAGAAAAAAAATAAATTACAATAATATTGAACAAGAGGTTGAAGAAACAGAAGGATTCGAAAGAAAAAACGCATCCAAATCATCAAAGAGTTCTGTAGAGATAAGAAACGAACGACAGCACAGGTACGAAGATAAGGAAAAAAAAAAAAAGCAAGAATCAAGAAAGCGATACGAAATCCGTACTCCAACATCGAGTACAATCACGTTGGGCAATGATGAAGAAACCTCCTCAGCACTACCGGAACCAAACTTATTCGCATCTCCACCGCCTGGTCCACCATCTCCACCGCGACCTCCGCCGCCATTCTTCCCTCCAAGACCACCGTTCCCGCCGCCAGAAGCAAAAGACACAGAGGAGCTCGAAACGCACTGCAAACGACGCCGCAGCGAAGGCAGCACCACCTGTAGAGTCCGGAGCGAAGTAGAACAGGAGCCAGAACATACAGTTCCGTGGAGGCCGAGGTAACTGGAAATGCAGCTGAAACGGCGAGCTCGATCACCGCCGTGAATACATTTTCTCCGAACAATTTCAGAGAGTTTCCGATTCAAGGCTCTGGAAACGCAGCAGGTGGCTACGTTGCCCGTCGCGCCGAAGAAGACGGAGTCCATCGGAGGAATTCGTACGAACTCTGGCTCCACTCTGCAGACGCGCTGTGAACAAACAAAGAACACGTTCAGCTCAGCAGATAGCTATACCAAAATTTTGAAAAAGGATACCACAGAAAAACCAAATATTTGGAAAAATAGCACTAAGACCACCCGCGGTTAGGTGACGTTTCCTTCTTGTGTTAGATTTCAAATGATTGTGTGGATAAATAATAATGATTAGGTACAGAAATTATAAATTATTATAATATTTTCTTTTTGTTTTTKTTTTCTAGTCAAATTTTATTTTATATTTATTTTATAAAATTGGTGCTTGCTTTGTCACTATTTCTTAGAGAAGGTAGGTCGGCTTGACGATCCACGTGTATAATGTGTCAACAAATGAGCCCAAATACAACTACAGATTTAAGTTTAATTGATGGATACATTCAATATATCAATGGTTTAAATTAAATATAGATTATTTATCTCGATCAAAATATTGTAAGTTCAAATCTTCGTCTTATACTATATATACATCGTTTATTTTAAAATTATTAGCGGGTTGGATTTTAATCAAATAACTTTAAATTTGGTCACGAGACGAATTTAAGTCCGACAGGAATAGTAACAAATAAAATAAATATAGATTTTGAATTGATTATTGTAAAAATGGTTAATTGACATTTTTCCTGTATAGCCCTAGCACAAAATAGTTATACAAATAACAATTAAAACATTTAAACTACTTAAGATTTTTTTCTTTAATTTTTTTCCTTTCGTATTTAGTTTTTTTGTGGTCCAAAATACATAGAAACTCACATCTGTAAATTATTTCCACCAATTTATACCATGTTTAACCTTCACTAAAATAACGCCCAATAATTCAATGTCAAATATCAAACTGTAAATATTCGCTTAACAAAAATACGCATGGTTGAAAAACATAAACTATCAAAAGTTAGGTAAAATAAACATCGAAACAAAATTTTACACGTCTTTAAAAACAAATTAAAAAAAAACAAAAATATTTGTTAAAATGTCCAAAACAAAACAATCTTAACATTTTAACAATTTCAACAAGAAATTACATATCAACGATAAAGATTTTATATTTTGGAAGGGATGTGAAAAATACTTACTATGGTGAATCAATATTCATAAAAACGTAAATTGTATTTATTCGGCCCAACTTCTAGAAGCCAAAACATAATCAACATTCATAACAAATTACAAACTTCATCACGAGGATAAAAATAAAAAAATAATAATAATAATAAAACTAAATACCAAGGACTTTACTTTTGTTGAATACAAACGAGTACGAGTTGAAGATTTGAACTCATGACATCTTGGTTTGTTTATTGAATCCACAACTAACATCGTCGTTTTTGTATCATTCATAATTGAAAATTGAATTCCTAGAAATTTACAATGAAGAATCATCGAGCGAGATTGATGCTACGTGGGTGCTTGCACCTAATTGACTTTCTCTCAACATTCATTTAATTACTATTGAGACGTACGAGTAGAGATGAAGGGTACATGAATAAACCGATACCACATTTGAATTGGGATATACTAAGATCATAAAAGAATGGTCAATAAATACTTAAAATAATTGATAGTCACTACTTATATTAACAAGGTGCACATTAATTTTCGCGACGATTAGGCCGAAATCAATACCAATGAATTCATCCTACTAATTTTTCCTACCAAAAATATATTTTTACGCAAAATAAATAGAGTAAATATGAACAAAATAATGGGGAAGAAAACTTACTAAAAATTATTTGATTCTTTTATTTTATGTTTGTTTATTTTGAAAAAATTTTATGTCTAAATGTATAAGGAGTTAATTAGGGCTAAAAATAAGGTTAAAACAATCCTAATAAACCCTTAAAAAGATATTTAAAAGGGATAGAAGTTTAACTTTAACAAAAACTTGTTTAAAAAATAAAAGACATAAATTTTCCATATAAAATAATTTTTTAAAACAAAGAAGTTTATCGTAACAAGAAAGTAATCTGCCGAACAAAAAATATCTCTGAAGCTTCCAACCAAATTGTGTAACAAGACTTTCTACTGGGCGTCGACGACATGTCGTTCCTGGAAGGCCGTAAATTTTCCCACAGGATCCGACGACGACAACCAATCGAAGTCAAGAAAAAATTGGGACCTACGCTGGACACGTGTCCAATCGCCAACACCGGCTTACATTTTCCGGCTCCCAGTTTAGATCGACTAAATCGACGGTGAAAAATCAATTGTTAATTTGATATTATTTAGGTTAAAATACATTCCTGTTCGATTTCTGTAGTTCAAAATATTCATTTTAATTTATGTATTTTAAATATAAACTATTTAATATAAAGTTATTGCTATATTTACAAAAATGAATATAATTTAATGATTATTGACCTATATTTTTAATCACAAGAACAGTTCGATCCCCACTCCTCTATATATATATATAAATAAAAATGAACAAGTTATTGTTATATTTCAATGAAAATGAAATTAAGACCTTTTAAGACCTTTTAACTATGCTCATTTTGACTATTTATCAATTAGTAAAACATTATATATTTGTTCTCCAGATGTTTAAACGATCTCATCTATATTACTGGACTGAATTAAGAAAACACAGAGCATAAACCCAACAAAACTTACATGTCTAACAATAATCCATAAAAAGAAAAAAAAAAGATAATTCCAAGGATAAACAATTATAGACCACATGCAAAACTTATTAAGAGCTTTATTGGTTGTAGATTCAAGTGATACTCTATTTACAAATTACAACACATTGACTAGAAATTGAGACAAACGAACTCATTTCTATTTCTACTTGTACACCTGACTACAAAACAACAAGTAATAGAATAATACTCACGTGCTTACTCGGCAGCACTTATGTTTTCGGACTACTATTAAATTTGTTACGAATAGAAGAGAGAAATACCTTTTCTCTGTAGCGGTCGGGGAGTGTTGACTGGCACCCAAATAGCGAGTACTATTACAAGTAGTATATCTGTTTAGTACTAATCCAAAAAAATAAACCAAATAATGGGTTTAGTGATATCCAAGAGGGGCTGCTGATTCTTTCAGTTCCTTTCCTTGGAAATGGATGTCCTACACACAACAGAAAACCAGGCCATTTCAGCGAAACATGTTCAAAATATGTTCACTGCAACAGTTGCATTCTAATTTTTGTAGATTCCCACACAGCATTTCTAGAGTTACAAGCACAAAAGAATCAAGTTACTCACAGAAGCAAAATGGTTGACATCGCGGTGGTGCGCCTCATCGGCCCGAATAACCATGATGACATCCTTCAACCTTGCATCCTTAGGCAGCCTCCAGTAGTCGATGGCAATGGCGGGAGCGGGCACGTTCTCGATCTTACCGTTCTCAATATCCTTCAAGTACTCGGTGTAGGAATGGATGGCTTCCTCTTCCAAATAGCCAACAATTCTATGAGCCAATTTTGGGGACATCAGATAGAGCACAAAGAAGGCATTGAAGAAGACGCCCTGCACTGTGATCACCAGCAGCCGCTCGTACCACTTGGGCTGCACAAGCTCAATCATGGTCATTAGATGCATCCTCTCATTCTCTGCTTCTTCAAGCAAGGCCTTGATCCACCCTCCACTGTGCTCAAACTTTCTCAGAGATTTCAGATGCAGCAGCATCCCTCCGACCATCCCCGGGACGGCTGCCACCGTCTCGAGCATCACGGCCCGACAACCATACCGCCTCTGCACAACATCCAAAACTTAGAATCCAGGACGGGCTACAACAATGTGGTTGATGTGATTTTATACAGCTACATATATGAAGAAGAAATTACAAAACATGTTTCAAATCCGTATCCATGTTATTGGGGACACACAGATTCTGAATCAGAGATGATATTGTGACCAGCCACAATGAACGATTTCTCGAATTCTAGACCATAGACCATAGGAGCAGAGACTTGTTTGACAACGTAAACGTTTATTTTTCTTGTTTGTTCTCAAAATTGAACGAATCCCTCAGAATTATGTATGCTAATTAATGACCCACCTGGAAGAAGATATCAGTTGGAATTCGAAGAAGCTTCACAACGCGGTAAGCGACTTTGTCCAGAAAAGCTTTCGGCTCGTGGTGCTTCCCAAGATCAATTGATACGTCCGCTCTGTAGGTTTCCCATGGCTGCATTTACAGCAACAGTTTTTAAAAGCCAACTCATAAAAACCAACAGTTGCAGAAACTCGATTTCTATGCTTAACATGAAGCGGTGGATCTAATCAAAACACTAGACCATAAGGTTTCAAATTTTAATCGCAGCTTCCAAAACTAAATCCGGCAATTTCAAAGAAAATCGAACTACCCCATAAAAAGGAACATGGTTTTATTTTATCAAACAGTTCACGGGAAAAAGTAGAGGGACCAAATTCATACCATAAAGCAATTCCATGGCCAGTCGGAGCCGTCTTCTCTAGTAATCTTCGGCCTGTAAATCCCCCAATAGCTAGAAACCAGAGCATTATCCTTCTCCTTCTCCTTCTCCTTCTCCTTCTCCTTCTCCTGCTCCTGATTCTCTACATCCTTTATCCTGTGTTCTAGTTTCTCCTTCCCCTGTTCCTCCGCCATCGCCGCCGACGAGCTCAACATCCTCCGCCAATGGAATCCCCCATCGGTCACCGGTTGATACTTCGTCCCCGGCGAGGCCACCGCCGCCAAAGAAACCCTCACACCACCAACACCGGCGCCGGCACCGGCAATCGAACTGAAGCTTCTCCCATTAATCAGACCCCGAAAGAAATTCCTCATCACAATCCGATTCATCTCCCCAAGATTTCCGGAGCCTTCCAACAATCGCTAATAAACGGATGAGTTTTTGCCACAGAAGAATTCACGTTGATTTATTTTGATTGACTGTGAACCAATGACTCGTCCGTTATATGTAAAGACGAAGAGAGGGCGAAGATAACCGACTACAGCTACGACCCTCTGCTTCGCGCTCACCGTACGACGGTGGATTAGGTTCGGACCGCGACTTGGCTTGGGGCTCAAGAAATCTCCAACGCCGAGGGGCGTGGAGTTTCCAGAAGGTTCGAGGAGGGTGGGTTCTTACTTCTTGGGGAGCAAGTAAAGTCTTTTATAATACTCCGCGAAGCAGGGGATTGTAACCTCAGCCACCAATTGTGATTGTAGATATATCCGATTTGGCGGCTGTTTAGGGGAATTATTGGGTGCTTTTTCGAGTCTCGTTATTGGCCGTCGGATCTTTTTTGTGCTGTGGGACCCGCAGGGAATATGAGTGGCGATGCGGCTCCGACGGAAAATTAGTTGCCTTGTTTGACTATTTTATGAGAAGACGATTTTGCCCTCGTGATTCGCCCACCTTTGAAGTCCCCACTTTATGGCAAAATGGGAAAAAGTAAAATATTACGTAATAGATTTTGATGACCTGTGTGTTTGGTTTTCTTTTTCTCTTTTGGTAAATTAAAATCATTTTACCTTTTTTCCAGTACCAAAAAATAATTTACAAACTTTCCATTTTTATTTTATTAATTCTTTTGTGGGATATTAATAATAATGTGATTTTTTAATTATCATTTTAGTTTATAAAATTTCAATATTGTATTGGTAAAGTTGTCTATTTTTTATACAAATGTCTACTAATTCCTTCAACAAATTTATTTTTAATAAATTTTTAAAAAAATATTCTATTGTTTCTTCCTTGTTTCTTTTATCAAACGTTGTTTCCTCTCTATTTTTTTTATCTAATATTAAAACTCATATTCGTATATTTGTAGTAGTATCTCTATTAAAAACATAATATATATAAAATTGAAAGTTCAAAAGTTTACTAGACATATTTAGAGACTAAACTTGACAACTTGTAATTTGACTTTTTATCGGTACAATAACTGAGGTGATATTTTAACCTACGTGTCTCCAAAAGTGTTGATCGATTGAACTACACTCACCTCGATATATATAACAAAATATGTTAGATTTAATTGATTAGTACTGAAAATTTTGATGGGAGCCACGAACAATATTTTATACCAAACTTTTCGTTCAACATGCATATTCTTAGAATAAAAAACATTGAATAATAAAATTTTGGGAGGTGATATAATATTAAGCTTGGCGTTTTACTTGATCAACACGTGGAGGTGGAACGTGGAAGTACAGCTGGTTGGCAAAATGGAATTATGGAACTGGTCAAGATGTTGACCTAAACCAAATTTCAATTTGAACTTAAAAAATAAAAAACAATTCTACTTTTTAAAATGTTCTTTAAACTTTTTATCCTGGGGGAATGTAACCAATTTTAGGAAGAGGTCAGAGTCAAAATTATATATTTAATAAATCAATATGACCATATGAAATATCGATAAATTAGGTCATGTCCATTTGGTTTTTGATTTTATGTGTTCACAATTTTCTGAATATCATTTTTAGCTAAATTTATTTAAAAATAAAATAAATGATTTAAACTTTGTCAAAAATAAAAAAGGACCCGCAATAAGCCTTTTACACCAAGCTAAGAAATGAAAAACTCGGCCTGATCAAGGATGGGCTCTTTGTCACAAAAGGGAATCCACTTTTTTTTTTTCTTTCAAAACCTTGATTTTTTCGATATGTCGCTCCGCGAGCAAGGAGTGCCACGCACGAGCGGAGCGAAAGTAAAGCCAAAATAAGGGGAATTCTTCGTTAAAGGGTAATTATGACTCGAGATAGCGAACGAGATAGCAAATGGATGGAAATTCTCCACTTAATGGCTGCTGCTTAACGCTCTATTAAATAAACATAAAATAATTTTTAAACACGTATTTTTTTGTTTATTAAAAAATAGGAAATGACAAATAAAAAATAAAAAATGGAATAGTTACCCAACAAAACTGGGTAGAATATGCTATTTTTTTTAATAATATTTGTAAATCATATTTTTTCCTTTTTTGGGTGAAGGGCCATCCCTATATATTTCAAAACAAAACTTGACTATTTTATATATTTTTATATTGTTAGTTATTAATATTCATCCACCCATAATAATATATTACTAAATTGCCACTTTTGTTCGATTAAAACATTTCATGATGATAGTGGCGGTAATAGCACGAATTTATTTTATTAGTATTATTATTTTTTATGACAAAATAACAAAATACTAATTTATTAACGAACTAGTGGCTGCATTTTATTATTGATTATATTATCCAAGTATTAAAAAAGAATATATTTAGTCCACGTATAAACAATATATCTAGTGTTTGAATGAAGAGTCGTGTACCGTTTGAAGCCATTTTAAAGTTTGTTCGGTGTTGATTATGTAATTTATATTTATATTTTCATTTTGTTAGTTTTTTAATGAATAGTCTAAAAACCATTAAAAAAATATATTTATATTTATATTTTTGTTAGCATTTTAATGAAGAGTCTAGAAACAATTAAAAAAAAGTGCGGTTTGAAGCCATTTTACAATTTTGTTAAGTGTCGATTTTATTTCTAAATATTATTTTCATTTAAACTTATTTTCTAACAAAATTTTATTGTGTAATTATTAATAAAAAAACCTTTGAAATCCTAGTAAAATGTTAAAAAACTATAACAGACCTATTTTTTGAGTAACAAGACGAATATTTCTTGGGCCTTTGCATGACTCATGTACCAACAGCAAAAGCCCATTCGCAATTTTTGGCCCATGTTTCCAAAACTATTCATGATTAATAAATAAATAATTAAAATACTATTTTGGTCCACTTTGATTTTCTGTATCTTCAAAATATTCCTTTTATTTTACATACTTTTACTTTAGTCTATGGACTTTTAAAAAATAGTCATTTTGGTTAAATTTACAAAATTTTAACTCATATTCTACTTATAATGGAAACCCTTCGATATACCGTAATTGTTACATTTCAATAGATATATCGAGTACTGCAATCTTGCGTTGAAAATTTGGTAGGAAAAAAAAAGAGATTATAGATATAACTAATAGGCCAAAATAGTCACATTTGAAAAGTATGTTGATCAAAGCGAACATTTTGAAGGTACACAAATTAAAATAAAGCAAAACTGATAGTATAGAAACCAAAATATTATATTAACCTAAACAAAGAAAAGCAAGCCTTACGTATATATAGCACTTTAACTTTAATTATTTTGCCATTTTTAAAGGTAAAAATAGGCGCAGCTGTTTTCATAATTTATATAATTAATTATTGGAAATTGATATTAATGTTGTTTCATTCTTAATGTCATATTGATTGGGGCTCTTCTCTTATAATTCACTCTCATTTGTCCATTCAAATACTGAGAAGGAAAATGACATTTTAGAAAAGAAAAAGGAGCGTTCAATGTGAAAGTATAGTCAAAGCACGAAGACCCATCTAACTAATAATAATAATAATAATAAATAAAATAAAGCTCCAATTAATTTAATTTGATTGCTTCAACAATTGGTTCATAAGTTACGAAGGTAAAAATGTCACTATTAATCTAATCATTTTATTATCTTTATAATAAACTTACATAGTTCAACTGGTTAAAATATCCATTTCCGACTAAAAAATCTTAGAATTCAAATTTTATTAGTTTTATTTGAGGGTTTGAATTTGATATTTTAAATATCATTATAACAAAATTATTAGCCAATAAATCTGAATATAACTCAGTATATATATTTTTCGAAAGTTTTTTTTGAATAAATAATAACTATTATTCCTTTTTGAACGAGTTGTTTGGTCAAATACTATTTCTCAATATTGATGTGAAATGACTCTCCCCCAATAGCATCAAATCTATTACTCATGGCATTCTGTGGACTCGTCAAATTTTTATTTTTAATGTCTTTTCAATTGATGACGCAATCTTCTTTGAATTTTCTTTTCATTGTCAATTCTTTTATCTACCAATTTAATTTATATTAAAATTTTAAATGTACTTTTTAGTTTTGGTTAACTTTACTCTTTGAGTTCTTTTTTGGTTCCTATATATTTTGAAATATCTATTTTAGTCATTTAATTTTATTTTAAATCTAATTTTTAAATAATTTTAACATGATGCTATATTTAATATATTTCTTGAAGCGTGTAACTATTACTTTATATAAAAAAAGTTTTTTGTCATGGGTAAAATTCGTATTAAAATTTTGAAAGTAAATATTTTTTTTTGAATCCGTGTGTCCGGGCAACTCGTAGAATATTAAATCTTAGGTAGGTGGCCACCATGGTTTGAACTCATTCCCTCTAAGTCCTTTACTATTTACAAAAACCATCATTGACCACTTGAGTCATCCCATAAAAGTAAATATTAAAATAGTATATTTTTAAAAGTACAAATATTAAAATAAATATTTTGAAAAATATAAAAATTAAAGTTAAACACTATAACTACATATATAGATATTAAAAAATAATACAGGAATTAAAATAAATTAAAGCTAAAAATGTATATCAAAATAGTATTTTAATCTTTAATTCATAAATAGGTTAAAAACTATTGGAGTGTACTCTAGAGATTTTGAATTATACTTTTATTTGAAATTTGTCATTGATACTAAATAGACAGCAGTACTAAAAATTAAATGTATAAATTTAATTTTATTCTCTCCGTTATTCTTTTTTGTTTTTTAATGGACAGTAATTTATCTCTTGATATATTTCCTCAAAATATATTTACCTATATAATGGTTTTTTTTTTTTTCATATATTGGGTTTTTATCTCGATTTCTCAAAAATATATTTAACTCTCACTCATAATTGCTAGGCAAAAAACTACGACGTCATAAAAAAGAGAAACGAGAGAAATTAAAAGTAGATAACAAATGAAGTTAAAGTTGTTGGTAAGAAAATTTCTGATAGAATAATATATCTTTCTTTTAATTCCATAATAAATTATAAACAAAGTTAAAATCTTTTTAACTTAGTATAAAATGAAAGGATAAAAATTGTTGTATTCAAGTTTTTAAAAATTTCGTCATAAGTTCAGATCTCCTCTCTCTTTTTTTTATTGATTCAATAAAAAGTTGCACATTAATCCTCGGGATATTAATCATACGTTGAAAGATATCTATGTATATGTTTTCAACGAAAAATTTTAGAAAATGATGTGATTTACGAATTAATCCTACATTTTTTTAATATCTTAAAAATATTTATGTGAGTACTAAAAAAATCAATTCTATGATGTATTAAAAAAAAAATTGTAGGAAGATTTAAACCTTGACTGGTTAGGATGCTTAGACACGTCTTCCACCCAACCAAAGTAGAATTTTATTAGTATGTTCAAATTATTTGGTATATTAAATATATATAAGTTCCTTGGACCTACAATAGATCTGTCTCGCGTAAATTAAATTTGTTCATATACCTTATGGTCATCTCTATTCTTAATTTAGTATTTATATTAAACCAAACATTTTATCTTACAATTTGGATCTACTCTGCAATATTTTATTTTATTTGTCTTTCATTTTTCATTCTATCATAGTGGAATTGAAACCTTCAATATTTAAGTTTATGATATGTCTCCAATTAAGTCATACTTCAAAATATAGCTCAACTGATTATAGTATTTACATTCAGTCAAAATATTGTGAGTTCGAATGTATATTGTACTAAAAATACCCATTAAACCATTTTCATATCCTGACATATATCTAAGTTTAAATAGATTATTTTTGTTTTTAGAAAATAGGGTTATAAAAATTGGAAGATTTATTATTTGACAATAATAAATAGGACGGAGTCAAAATGGGGGAAAAGTCCAATAATAGACAAATTCATGGACCAAAAAGAAATTGAATTTTCTTAGCAAAGACAAAAAATTACGAACAAATCGAGGTTTCCATATGGAAACAGAACGGCTGACTTTGGTATATATGTGGGCCCCACCCTCCCTCTCAGAATGCACGTGCCAGTCCAAACAAGAATTTGTGTGAAATTCCAATTTTACCCCCCCATTTTAACCAGTTGAGAGGTTAGTAAATTGTAATTTTGACAGTGTTATGGATAGATAAAATCCAAACAGAGAGGTAAAAAATTTGTACCAAACATATTTTGGTTATGTTATATGTACATCCTAAAAGAAATTGACTCAGTTAATTAAGTAGGACCAATATTTGCATGTGGGTCAACGGGTAAATGTCTTATTTCTCTCTTATTATATTATTGTTATTTAATTTAGATTTTCCAATTAAAAAACTAGAAACTAAAAAATCAAATTAATACCTTTTCAGGAGAACATGCACCCAATCCTATAATTTCCTTGAAATTTCAAACAAAATAATTCGAAAATTAGAATTAGGGACATTATTTAATTTTTATTAAGTTAAAATATGTTTACTTATTAAACATGAGCATAATTCAATTAATCAAAATATTTAAACTAAGTTAAAAACTTATAATCCTTCACCTTTGGTTGAAGTTATAAAAAAAAAACTATAAAATTTCAGAGCATTTCATTGACGAGACCTAAGTTTTTTCCTTTTACCAAGAAAAAAAGAAAACCGAATGATGAAGACGAAGGAAAGGAAGCAAAAGGAAAGCAGAAAGAGGGCCACACTGTCAGTAAACAACTAACAATCGGGTGGAGAAAAAAGAGAAAAAAAAATGGAAAAGGAGCGCTAAAAATCAAAGTCAATAAGGAAAAGCTCTGCCCCATTCTCGGTTACTGCTTCCATTTTTCCTCTTCTATTTTTGCTATTTCTTTGCCCTCCGCGTGGACTTACCCCAACTCAACTACAACGGTTACACAAAACTCCATTGATTCCTTCTTCATTACACCCTTTCCCTCTTTTTGGTCTTCTTCTTCATAAAACAGTGATTGTTTCCAAGTCATATCTTTCCAGGACTGAATAATCAATAATTCGCCTTCTGGGGTGGTTGTCTTTTCTCGTTTTCTTCGAAATTCCGACGACTTCTGGATCGGTAAGCCGAATTCCGGACTGCCCTTTTGGTATTTTATATTGTTTTTTATGATTCCTTGACTTTTTGGCGCTATTGGGGTGTTTCTGATCGTGGGTTTATGGCGTTTGGTTGATCGGAATTCGTTTTCCGAACTTGCAGCTTGTGGGGGCCCTGTGGTTTTTCCCTCTTCTTGTGGGGGTTTCTGAGAAAATTAGGAATTTTCTCTTCTTTTGAGGTGGATGATTGTTGAACGGGGAAAGAAGGCGAAGTGGGAAGAATAAATTGTATGGATAACTTATGCTGCTTCAATTCTGTCTATTCTCAGGTAGTGATATCTTCTTCTTTGAGTACTTTTACGTTTAATTCCTAATTTATACGTGTTGACTTCTGTAGAACTCTGTGAGATGGTAATTTCTGAGCTTCTGATGAGTTGTATGATCTGTCTTTGAGCATACCATTGTTGAGGTCCAAATCGTGATTTTAAATGTCTTTTATACCAATTAATCATGATCGGGACTTGTTCTGGATTTTTTTTAATTGAAGTTGATTTTTGTTAACTTTAAAAGTACCTCCTGGTTTAAGTTTGCCTTAACATGGTAAATAACTTTATGGTTTTGGATTTAGAACTAGTCGATTTTTGGTTTATGCAAGTTTTGACTCTGAATTTAGCGAGACTGACAACATTGGTTATCTTCTTCCAATATTATTTTGAAGAATTGTCAATTTATCTTTGTTCCTCGAAGTTCAAAGTTGGCGATACTTGTACTTTGTTCATTTAAGATTTTGCAATTTGATTAGACCAAAAAAGGTTATAAACTTTCTGTATTGCTAGTTTATCGTTATTTATGTGAGGTATTTGCCTCAATGGTGATATCCACAGTCTGAAAGTCAGTGACTCTGGAATTTTCTTTATCGTGAAGATAGTTTTTGACTCGGGCTCATTTACTTGTTTCGTTCTCTTTTTAGGCATGTAATCTTGAGTGCTTACTTGAAAGGAACTTTGTTTTATCTTTTGAATGTGGAGAAAGATGGGAAAATTTCCCTAGAAATTTTGCAATTACGAGTAAAATCCTAGTTTTGCGAATTTCTGCTAGGCATATTCATTTTGATATTATTAATTATTAACTATGGAACATTTATTTGGAATTGGGATTCTCCTTTGCCTTTAGTTTGTAGGAGGACGTTCGTCATGTAGCTCCGGGAAGGGCAGGGGCAATCAATGCCCTGCCAGGTATGGATTCAGCCTAGTGAAAGGTAAAGCAAATCATCCCATGGAAGATTATCATGTTGCTAAATTTATCACAGTACATGGCCGTGAACTCGGCCTTTTTGCTATTTATGATGGACATCTGGGAGACAGCGTACCGGCCTATCTACAAAAGCATCTGTTTCCTAATATACTGAAGGATGTAAGTTATTCACCAGATGCAATAATTGTTTCATTGTGATTTCAATATATTATCAGTTATCAACACTGGCGAAACTTGTTCGAGAATTATAGTAATGCATTCAAAAGTTAGGATGTTCTTTTATCCTCATGATGGCTAGTTAGAAAGGTGTATGCTAACATCTTGGAACGATATCTTGTGACTGCTCCAGGAGGAATTTTGGTCGAATCCCCGTAGCTCTATCTTTAAGGCTTATGAGAAAACAGACCAAGCAATACTCTCACACAGTCCTGACTTGGGAAGAGGTGGATCCACTGCTGTCACAGCAATTTTGATAAACGGCCAGAAATTATGGGTGGCTAATGTTGGAGATTCACGGGCAGTCCTTTCAAAAAAAGGGCAGGAATTACAAATGTCTATTGATCACGAACCAAACACTGAGCGAGGAAGTATCGAGGACAGAGGTGGCTTTGTCTCTAACATGCCAGGTCTGGTAATGCATTTAATGTATCCTCATGATTGCTCATAGATGCATGAATGCTAATAAAAATTCGAAGACTCTACAGGTCTATATGAATTATATCATTAACAGGCATTTTAGGTTATAGGTTCGTCCTCTGCTTGGGAAATTAAATATCTTATGAATTTGGTGATGGTCCTGTAAGATAGATAATCTGCAGAAAGTGGTCCAGACACTCATAAAGAAACCATTAATGGGGATTAATCTTTGCTGGATATCATCTCAAACTGCTTTGGAATTAAGTGTTGCTTATTTTTAATTTTTAGAGAGTGAGTTCCTACTGCAAACATTGTTTGCAGATTAGAGGATGGACATTTAGAATTTCTTGTAAATTCTCTAGAGCATGTGATATTTTAATTAGATTAATTCTTTCCATTACTTTCAGCCTATATATGAAATTTTGGTCCTTTATGTGAGAAGGTGGGGGTAGCTTGTTTACTTTTTTCGAATCACCTGGGAAATACGTAGAGGTTGGGATGTCAAAAAGATATTTTTTGTTGTGGTTCACTGGTATTTACTATTATTCTGGCTAAGTAAAGAACAAACTTTTTCTTGGATGATGCCCAATACTTCAACCAAATTCTGCTTTGATGGTGAGAAATGTCTTCTTATTGAATCATTACATTCTTTTCAAGTGTACTCAAAATAGAAGTTCCTATTTCAATTAAAGTTTAGGAAGTTTATGCAGCAGCCCCTGCCCTGCCCACCACCACCAACCCAGAAAACTATGGATCGGTGGATACGAGTCCTATATTTTCCTCCTCACTCTCTTTTAACATATTATGCAAAGAGAAGAGGCCATATTCTGTTTCTGCAAGTTTATGATGTTGCCAAGTACCACCAGTGGCTTAAAAATTAGTGGCATTCTGTACGAACTGAAGAATGAGATCTTTGGATGGGCGGGGGCTCTATTGAGCCTAGGCAATGCAACTATTTGGGCAAGTTGCGGCAACTCCATTGATAGTCATAGCGCTGAAGTCATGCTTTTGAAGTTATAGGACGTTGGAATGATATTTGTGGGCTTAAATGTTGAGAATATGAGTAGAGAAGATGTCTATTTTGAGATAAAAGAATAATAAAAAACTTAAGAATTTCTTTTCATCTCTCTAGATTGGAAGAACATAGCAGGAGTTTTACCAGAAAATTAGAGCAATGCACATGGTTCCATTTCCTTGTTTCTTGAATTTATAAAAATTTTCTATGATGGAGGTTATACACGAGGAGAAATGGTAAGCTTCAGAACTCCTATAATGGTATAGTACCCTGTGAATTTTTCAGAACATGAGAAGCATGGACGACACGAGATAGGAAATGGACAAGGTGATCCACCATTTTGTCACGGAAACAGCAAGGACACATTGAACAAGATTTTACTTGGCTAAGACATGTCTGAGATTTAGAGAAGTAAAAAAATTGGACACCCTAAATCACTGTTTAGAGTGAGTCTGACACTGACTTTTTGTTTGAAATAAAGTGTTCATGCTTCCTAGCTAGAAACTAACCCAACTATTTGCAAAGAGCGAAAAGATACAGATGACTTATATCTCAATTAAATGAATATCTTTGTGCTGAGTGAGGACATTTGAAGGTGAAAATGGCTATTGTCAAATCATCATTGCCTTCAATATTTTTCGATTATAGGAGATGATACTTATGATTAATGATCAGTCAATGTTCAATATGTCCTATAGTTGTAAAAATGTTGAGGTGTATTAATTGGCTGTGAGAACAAAAACTTAAAAGACATTGAGCATTAAATTATTTTGAAGGTAGCAGATATCAGGCTGCAAAACTTGTCCTTCCCCGTGCTATTTTGTCTGTGAAATTAAAATTGTCACAATTGGAAATGAGAAATGAGAGAAGAGACACCATATGCCAACTTATTGACATAGAAAATCTTGAGTGGTCTCGTAGAATGAACATATGCCTTTGGTTCCTAGATCAGGGTATCGCTTTGGGAGTGTTCGGTAACTAGAAATCTTGAGAGGTCTCTTTTGCATATGTTTTCAATAACAAATGTTTTCTAAGATGAGTAAGAGAAACAAGTAATACAGGTTTATAAAAGAACAGAAACAAGAAATGAGAACATTAGCGGACGACCTCTAACTAACTACCTCTAACTAACTGGATAAATTTTTTTTTTGACACTATAAGGCATAGGGGAAAAAGGTTTAGCGTCGTAGTTGTTCAGTAGACAATGCTGCCACATCTTTTTCTATTCATATTCTTGTTGACATGTGAACTTCTACTCATAATTTCTTATACTAAAATCAAAGTCTCCACCTGAAAAAAGGAAAAAATATCTACTCAGATTTTGTTCTAAGACATATTGTGGTGAAGAGCCACGTCTATTCTATAAATCGTCTGACACTTGAGGGTGAACGGTTAAAGATATCATACAGTCTGAGCTTGCTATGCTTTGACTTGATAGTACTTCGATTATTTTTTTTTTGTCATATTAGGAGATGTTGCAAGAGTGAATGGGCAGCTTGCAGTTTCTCGAGCGTTTGGCGACAAGAACCTCAAAACACACTTGCGATCTGATCCCGACATAAAGAATGCTGATATCGACTCTGACACCGAGCTTCTTATCCTAGCAAGTGATGGTCTATGGAAGGTGATTTCTTCCCATCAACTGCAACAAGTGTCCGTTTTGAATGATTCGTTTGTTCTTATATTTTTATGAAAAGTTCAGGTCATGACGAACCAAGAAGCGGTGGATATAGCGAGAAGGACCAAGGATCCCCAGAGAGCAGCAAAGCAATTAGCAACAGAGGCACTGAAAAGGGAAAGCAAAGACGACATATCGATCATCGTAGTTCGTTTCAAAGGGTAAAAAGGTCGAGTTGAGCTAAATATTTGTTACCATTACTCATGTATTCTGGGCGTTTAAAATCCATGGCATGCAACTCTAAAATCTTTATGCCAACCCCAGTACGAAAAATCTAAAGAAAACGCATAAGTTTCGATATCCCGAATCTCCCTTCGCAACGGAAAAAAGGCATCTCTGTAGTATATTATGATGTTCTGGTGAAGTTTGATCTTCTTTTTGATCTGTAGATCCATGTATACCTTCATTTTTCTGTAACTTTTTGTGAACTTGTGAAACAGTTTGGAACTATAGGTTTGGCCTTTGATCTCCTTGGAACACCTGCATGAGATGTATGCGACTATTGTAGTAGATTGATAAGCCTTTTGGTTGATATATCCATATCCTTTAAAATAAATCATTTCTATGGTAAAATTGTACTTTGATTTCCCGGATGGCGTTTCCTGTAATTGTGCACTCCATTGACTCCTGAAATATAGAGGATTTTTTTTTTTTTTTTTTTTTTTATCAATAGCCACATAAACACATATTACATTTTTGTCCTTGTTGATTGAGAGTGACTCATCAAGAGCAATAATTCATCTCAGAAGCGTGTGGAGATTACTTATCTTGATATGTCTTTTTTGTAAAATAGTACAAGGATCAAAATTTATCGTACGTCGTAAAATTAATTTAATCAAATTGGGTTTCATCCATTTTAAAAATAAAGAATAAAGATAGACTTTAATATATAGCTCAACTGGTTAAGAGTTGAGACATCTATGAGTTTTTATTCCTGCCTCCATTTGTTGTTCTAGTTAAAATACCGTAACTTTGAATGTTATAATAATTTTAAGAAAATAGATGTTAGCCTTTTCTTTGAAGTCTTTTATCCTTTAAGTTGAGATTTTATTAAAACATTAGGTTTCAGATAGAGAGGAAGTGACTCGAACCTATAACTAAATAAAAAGAAGAGGCATTGATGATAACATGTTTCACTTTTTTTTTTTGATAAAAGAAACTTTCGTTAAGAGGAAAGTGCCACGGGGCGACATATGAAGAACTTTCTCCTTCAACATCTCCCAAAAGCTAAAGGGGAAAGTGAGAACATGTTTCACATTTAATTTAATGTAAAATATGCATGATTTATATTAATACTTTGGATTTCACCATAGACTTTTAAAGAATATTTTTGACTTGTTCTTTTCTAAAAATAAGTAGATTGCTATACGTCAATTAAAAAGTCGTGAGTTTGAATCGCTATCATCATATATTGTACTAAAAAAAATATTAAATAACTTCAAACAAACTAAGATCTATTTGTTGGCTTTTTCTTATGGAATAGGTAACAACTTCTCAATAATTTTGAAATCTAATCGATTTTACTATATGAAAGTTTATAGTTTATTCTTATTTCATTTTGATCCTAAAGAGCAACTGGTTTCACATCAAAAAGGTATAAGAAAGGGGCGTGTTCGAAGTACTATAAAGGGATTCATGCGTGATTGTTTTAATCATCTCAATTGAAACACTTAAACATGATATACTAGCTTTAGTTAATTGAGTGATATTTGCTAGGAGAGAGTGTTTGTGTAGTTATAATCGGGAGAGAGAAATCTGTGTGATTGTACCAATTTTTCACATAGTGTATTTTTCTTTATGGACCGTAGTTTTTTCTCTAGTTTGAAATTTTCCACAGTAAACTTTGTATTTTCTTTAAAGTATTAATTTTTGAATGTTAGATACTAAGCAGAAACCTATCCTCAAACTTAAAACTAAAAATGGAGTTTTATTCTTATTTATTATATATAAATATATATATTGATAAAACTAGATTTGGTAATTGATGCTTTAAATATTGGACACGTTTTCCAAACACCAACAATATTTAATTACCTAATTGATTAAATATTCTCAAAACTTCTTAGATGTTATATGATCAATGCAAGATTGAATTTAAAATACAAATTTATTATTATTTTTTTTATCACAACTAAATTTATTTATTATTATCATTGTTATGTGCTACTTTATTATTAAATATTGTCCAATCATCCATCTTTCTTTTTCCTTTTTAATATAAAGAATCATCACACTTTTTTTCCCTTCTTCTTCTTCCCTTTTTTAGTTAATTTTTACTATATTTTTATATACACAACTCTCAATAATAAAATAATAAATCAAATCAAACGAAACCAACTCATTACTTTGTAACTTCTAAAAGGCGTGGAAATATAACTTTTAACGGGGTCCAGTTGACTCGGTCTGATCGGATGGTTTGATTGACTTTTATCTAACAAGATGGTTTGACTCGAACGATTCGACCCATGTCACTTTATAGACTTCATTTCAACTAAATCTAATACAGTTATTTCACGTATAATAAAATTAATACTATTTCTAGAATAAACTAGAAAAATTATTGAAGGCGTGTTTGGTTGGCAATTCGTTATGTTTATTATTTTCAGTGGATGTAACAGAGGTGCTTTTGACCGCATTTGGAGATTTGTTTTTCAGATTTTGAATTTGAAAATTTAAAATACATAATTACATTACAAAAGATAAAAATTTTGATAAATATATTATTTCATGTTATAAACTCATTTTATTTTTGTTAAAATTAAAACAAGTAGAATGTAATATATTATAAATCATGCAACATTATGAAAGGATAATTATACAAGATTTATAACAAAAATGTTAATACATTAATTAATATTATTTAGTTGATAAGTTCTCCTTAACAAAAATATATGGGATCAAAATAAAAACAAATATTTTTTTTAACAACAAATGGAGGTGGAAAAATTCCAACTTACGAACTATTATAGAAAAAAACATGTATCAATTGCTGCGTAAAACTACTTATTTGAGAACAAATTAAATTGCTGTTTAATAAAATTTCTTTATATTAATATTAAATGATGAAACTTTTAAAAAAGGCGTTACGAAAAAACAGAGGAAGTCTCTGTTCTATTTCTATGGTTCCCCTCTCGTCTTCCGCTCCATCAGAATATATATAGAAGCAATCCCGTCCCCTCGCCGGACCTTCGCCGGTACTTCGCCGGACTGCCATGACTATGGCCGAACCCTCTCCGGCCACCATGGCTCCGCTGCTTCTGCGGAACCTCATCACCTCCCTCTTCATCTTCGCCG